GCGCTAAATACTCCAATATATGTGTATGTTATCCGAATCGTGGGTAATAAAAGGAACACAATAAGACAATGTACAAATGTCAAAATAAATAAATAGTGACAGTTCGTGATAAGTGATCTACGCAGGAGTTGCTAGTGACTTCCCGATCTTGTGGTCCGGTGACAAATAGTGAAAATGTGCACTCACCAGATGCGTATTTTCAATACGCATGTCATGCATAAACCAGAGGTCTCCCTCATAGGATGGGATGGATGAGCTGGGCCGTCTTTAGCGGACTCTCTTTCCTCTGGGTGTATAGCAGCCAAACCTTGCTATTTCCGATAGTGCAACCTCATCCGTAAGGGAGTAAGTGGTTACTATCCACTCATCTACCTTGTTATTTTGGACTTTCTGTTGGTGCAGATATTACACCAATAGAGCTTCTAAAAAATACAAGAAATTTTCAGGAGTTTTAATTTTATAACATCTATCAAAACCAAAAATATCAGTTTTGTACACTCAGAATTTTGACTTTGTGGCTTAATAGGGTTTTCTGATTGAGGACAATAGGTTAGTTAGACAAAATAGCTTTGATAAAAAAAAATTAAGAATATTCTACTTTCAGACAGCTGGTGAATCTTCACTTGCCATACTGTGGAAATTAGTAGAAAACCAATATTTCAGAACCAGCAGATGGCAGTGTTACATAGGAAGCTCTAAATACCTTTTAATTATTTTTGTTAAGGTTTTACTAGCCACCTGTTAAAGTAAACCTGTCTTAAACCTGGAAATTCAAAATGAGTTTGATAAAATGCAGAGAAGATTCCTTGTTGCAAATGGCAGTCAACGTTTTCAATTGGGGCCAGAGATATTAATATCTGACGTTTTATGCAAATTTTCACTTTACTTACAAGATATAAACTTATCTGTTCCTTCCTGCCATCCTTTCCTATTGGTCCTTTTATGTGATGGGCAGCCTCAATGGCCAATAGATAGACTTAGAATATGGATGGTGGCTGGACCAAGCTTGATTTTTCAAAGAAAAATTAAGAGTTGCAAATAAATTTAGCTGCTCGTATTTCTGTATCCGCATGCCATTTTTGCATTTGATTCCTGCTGAAGGTAATCTTTAATTGTGTTCTTTTTTATGTTCTCAGTTTGAATTGACAAGATTTATGACAAATGTATGTAAACTTTACACATAATCTTACTTAACATTAGTTAAAGAAGAAAAGAGTTAAATAATAAAGTGCAGAGACCAGAAATCAATATGAAAATCGTATGAACATCAACTAATCCTTACAACAAATATTTGCTTCAATCCTGTGTTTGGAAATGTATAGTAAAGCCAAATGCTATGGATTACCTTAAAACATTCCTACATGCAAAACTGGGGTCCTGGTCAAGGAAACTACAATGTTTTTGGATCAGTTTTATCTGTTTTAATTTAATTTCAAGAATTCCATGTATGGTGTATTTTTACAGCTTGGACCAATGTTACTATACTTATACCATACCTGACTGATGCTCCTGGAAGCTGGAAATCACTGAAGTAGACACATCAGAGATCTCCATGTTACTGGGTCCCATTCTGAGTGGCTGCACTGATGCATTGTAAATAAAGGGAGGTGGGCCACTCGGCACAGGTGCCATTCAGATAATGTTTTGCATATTCTGAATGAATGCAAAACGCTCTCTGATTGCGGAGAGGCGAAGTACCAACATCACATGTTCCACCTCATCAAATCAAAGAATGCTTTGCATTCTTTCAGTATGCTCCTGAAAAAGTGGAACATGATTTTGAGAAATGCTTTCAGTTAAGGGTTAGTCTCACCCCCAGATTAACACATAATTTAGTTAGATGGTTGTATCTTTAATGGTCTCATGGATATTGTTAATTGATTGCAGTGGGGATGCAACACACTCTTTCAATGAGTTGTATTATTATTATTATTATACAGGTTTTATATAGCGCCAACAGTTTTACAATATATGGGAGACAATACAATTACAATACATTTCAGTACAGAAGGAATAGGAGGGCCCTGCTCATGGAGCTTACAATCTAAAGGAAGGGGAAGGTGATACAAAAGATGTTAGCTGCAGGGAATGATCTGATGGAGGTGATTCAATTACAGTTTCTTAAGTGGAGGTGGGGTAGGCCCCCCTGAATAAGTGAGTTTTCAAAGATCGCCTAAAGGCAGGCAGGGTGGGGGCTGACCGGACATGCTGTGGTAGGGAGTTCCAGAGGATGGGAGAGGCTCTGGAGAAGTCCTGGAGGCGAGTGTGGGAGGAGGTGATGAGGGGGCTAGAGAGGAAGATATCTTGGGAGGAGCAGAGTGGACGATTTGGGCGATATCTGTGGATGAGGTTGGCAATGTAGCTAGGGGCAGTGTTGTGGATGGCTTGGTAAGCTGTGGTTAATATTTTCTGCATACGACATGTGTTTTTATTGTACTATACAATTTTAATCCTGTTTGTAATAACAATAAAAGTGTGTATTTTAGCATAAATTGGTATCATATATGCTCTATGCCAAACAGCCAGTGCCATTCCAGTCAGTAAGGTGTCTTTAAAAATTAGAAATAGTTGCCTGGATAAATCTGAGCTAGGTTCCCTAAGGACTCATGGGTGTAAAACATCTGTAATTGGTGATTTGTTCACATTACGTTTGTCTAGTCTCTTTTGTACCTGGTCCGCCATTGTCATTTGTAAAAACTAAAGAGAAAAAATGAATACATCTGACTTCCACTGTCATTATTGACCAACTTCCCATGTTCATCTAATATGGTGCCTATCTGTGCTTTCATAACGTTTTTACTACTGATATATTTGAAAAAAATTGGAAATTGTTTTTACTTGATGTAACAGTGTGTTTCTTTTACTCTATTTTAGGTGCTCTGATTGCTCCCTGGCATTTCTTGTTGTATTCCTTGTAAATTTGAAATACCGAATGCTAGGGTATCTCTTCTACTTTGTACTTTTTCAAAGACCTGTTTTTTCATTTATTTTATTTTTTTTACACTAGAAGTTAGCCACGTAGGTTTTTATTGCATGACATGGGCTTCTCATAGCACTATGAGATATCTAAAGAGACAAAGCAGGCACTTTCATGCTTTAAGACATGATTTGACTGCAATTCAGTAAGTGGTTTTTCACTGTGATGCGTCACCGCTTTAGGTAATTGAGTTCTGTAAGCATTGGTGCTTGTTTCATCAAATAAGTAAATGGTGATTCTGTAATACCAAAAAAATGGGTATTGCCATCTGGCTTGAGGTGATTGTAGCCGTATTAGTGCATTTGCGACAGAAACAATTGAGTACTGTCCGTGATACTTTTTTTGTTTGCACTAACATACAATTTTGAGGACAAGCTTTCAGGGAATGTCCCCTTCTTCAGGTCCAAGCAGTACTGATCACAATGTTTTAGCAGAATGTTAGAAGAGATGTAGGGGAAGACAAAAAAAAAAAGAGAACAGAGATAAGACACAGCAAAAGCAAAGTCTGGGGTGGGGGGTGGAGACAACACTCACAGAGGCAGTCATGTTTGAGGTGATAGTCATAAAACTGTTGGATAATGATTGAGGGATCACATGGCCAAATTCAGGCCCTTATCTCTTGTGTCAAATAGAATTATCATTCTTAGTTCAAACGTTTTTCTTTCCTGAATGGATTTGAAATTTCCTTTAAGAACTAATATATTGAGGTCTCCCAAAGTGTGGTCTGGTTGTGCGAAATGGTGTCCCACAGGTGTGCAGAAGTCATCTTCTTTATGTTCCTTGATGGTATGTCTGTGCAAATTCATCCTTGTTTGCTTCTGTCCTGTTTCGCCAACATAAGATCCTTTGCTACATTTTCTGCACTGGATAAGGTACACAACATTACTAGAGGTGCAGCTGTATGATCCGGAGATATTAAAGATCCCTTTTGAGTGTCTGACACTTTTTGATGGATTGATTTGGTTGCACAGTTTGCAGCGTTTTAGCCATCTGGCTAAAATATAGAACACAAAATATTAACATGTAATGTTTTAAATTGACTTGGCTCTAAAAAAAAGAAAATGTGTTTACATTTTATTAGTCATCATCGCAAGTGAAAATAATATGTACAAAACTACCTTACATTCTTTAAAAAAAAAGAGAGTCTGCTGGGTTAGGAATATGGGGGTTCTCTTTGGTCTGTCATCATTAGCTTTGCTTCGCTAAATGGTGAGCCACCTAACATGGAAAAAAGCTAATCCACATTTGGTGTCCAACATTTGATGCGCTCATGCTTGTTTTAGGTCAATGACAATTTTCAGCTTTCAGGACTGTCACACTTTGAACGTCATGCAACATTGTACCCATATGAAATTGTTATAATTTTTATGACACAGAGCTTTCTTTTGGTGGTATTTAATCACCACTGAGTTTTTTACTTTTTTACACTATAAATAGAAAAAGATGCAAATTTAGAAATAAAAAGTGTGTTTTTCTTAGTTTCTGTTATACTGCTACATTTCTTTGATAAAAATAACCCAATATCAGTGGTCTGTGAGAGTTTTATAGTCTACAAGCCATGACACCAATCATTGAAAATTGATCACATCTGATCACACCTGATGTCTATCTCTATTCTTGAGGCCCTAACATGCCAGGACACTACCAAAACCTCCAAAATGAACTCTTTTGGAACATAGACAGTCCCAAGTTATTTAGTAAGAGGCCTGGCAAGCTTTACGAAGCTGTCATTTTTTTCCCACAAAAATTTCATAATAAAAAGTTATTTCTCATACACAGCATAGGCATACTTGCAACTAGACCCTAAAACACATTCTGCTAATCCTCCTGTGTATGGCGATACCCCATGTGTGAGATGTTTTTACAGCTTAGTTACAAAAAGAGGCCCAACATCCAAGGAGAACCTTCAGGCATTATCCACTTTAACCACTTGGCAACCACGATAGCCGATTGATGGCTACAGTGCGGTTGTCCAGTTCTGGGCGAGCGTCATATGACGTCCTCCTAGAACGCGTCTTCCCGCGTGCCCCCAGTGCCGCGCACCCAATGATCTCTGTGATCGCCTACAGACACAGCTGATCACAGGATGAGGTAAAAGGCCAATCACAGCAGCCTTTTACCACGTGAGCAGCTGTGTCCAATGACACAGCAGATCATTGAGTAAATACAGTTGCCAGTTATCGGCAGCACTTTCCTCGCGGTGTCACAGCGTGCTGATAACCGGCAGCTGTCACAGAGCAGATCAGTTCTGATCATCAGGGCACTGATGATCAGTGCCCTGATGATCAGTTCCTTGCAGTGCCACCCACCAGTGCCCAGCAGTGCCACCCATCAGTGCTGCCCAGAAGTTGCGCCCAGCAGTGCCGCCCATCAACGCCGCCAGTGCTGTCAGTGTCATCAGTCAGCGTCGCCCGTCAGTGTCGCCCATCAGTGCCCATCAGTTGTGCCTATCAGTGTCCATCAGTGCTGCATATCAGTGCAGCATCATCAGTGCCTACTCATCAATGCCCACCAGTGCCACCTCATTAGTGCCACCTCATCAGTGCAGCCTGTCAGTGCTCATCAGTGCTGCCTATCCATACCACCTCATCAGTGCTCATCAGTGCTGCCTATCAGTGCCCATCAGTGCTGCCTATCAGTGCAGCCTCATCAACGCACATCAGTGAGGGAGAAAATTTACCTGTTTGTGAAATTGTATAATATAAACAAAGAAAAACTTTTTAAAATTTTTTTGCTCTGTTTTTGTTTATAGTGCAAAAAATAAAACACCCAGTGGTAATTAACCACTAGGGGACCGCCCACAGTACATATACTGCTACAAGGCGGCCCCTGTGTGCAGGATCAAGTATATAAACGTGATCCTGCTTTCCGGGGTAGGGGGCGCACACGAAGCGCGTGACCGCTGTACCCGCGGCACCGATCGAGGCCGCGGTTGTCAATTACCGTGTCCCGGACGGTGATTACCATCCGGAGCCCGGCGAGTGCCAGCATTCACAGACAGAGAGGAAGGCTGCATTGTTTTCAATGGATCTTTTCTCCCTATCAGCTTTTAGCACACTGTTCCGGGATCGCTGGACACAGCCTCCGGAAACAGTGTGTAACAGAGCAGTACACACCCCCGCCCCCTAGTAAAACACTTCCCTTACACAGTTAACCCCTTTGATTGTCTACAGAAGTTAACTCCTGCCTCCCCAGTGCCATTATTACAGTGTCAGTGGGGTTTTTTTTGCACTGATCACTGTATTGGTATCACTGGGGATGTCAGTGACCCCAAGTCATTTCCCCCCCCAGTGTCAGAATGTCCGCCACAGTCCTGCCATAAGTCGCTGATCACCACTATTATTTAGTATAAAAAAAAATTAAAAATCCAGCATGTATACCGCCATTTGTAAACGCTATATAACGTTCACGTAAACCAATTAATTTACACGTATTGGGATTTTTGTTTAGCAAAGACATGTCGCAGAATACATTTTGGCTGAAATTTATGATGAGATTTGATTTTTAAATTTTTTTACTGGACATCCACCAAGAATTTGCACACAGGCCCATAGAGCTCCTAGTATCCTTCTGGATGTGCTTGCAAATCCCGATTGGCAGCCCACAAATTCTGCAGCAGTTGTACTTCCCCCATTCACTGCCCAACCCGGAATTTAGGTGGAAATAGCAAATTTAACTACTCCCCTTGATTTTTTGGAGCTGTTTTTCTGTATGCATTGATTGTGGATCAAAGCATTTTATATGCACAACAATGTATCACCGCCAACCAAAATTCAAACCTTGCCAGACCATTCGCATGGAAACTCATTACGGTTTTTGAATTTAGATTTTTTTGGGGCCTAACCCTCAACATGGGCATTACTAAAAAAAATGAATTGCGGTTATATTGGTCCACAGACCCGATTCATCATATGCCGTGTTCTCTGCTACCATGGCCAGGCATAGACATGAGAGTATAATGTGTTTTATGCATTTCAACAACAACACACTCTGTCGTCCTCGAGGTGACCCTGAATTTGATCGGCTCCACAAAATTCAGCCCCTTGCAAATCACCTTAACCAAATATTTGCAGATGTCTATACTCCCCAGCAAGAAATCTGCGTTGATGAGTCGCTCATTAATTTTTCTGGCCGCCTTGCATTCAAACAATTTCTCCCCAGCAAGCGTGCCAGATATGGGGTCAAGATGTAGAAGACCTGTGTGAGGACAACAGGCTATACTTATAAGTTTTGGATTTACGAGGGAAAAGATAGTCATGTGGAGCCCCCTGGATGCCCAGACTACATGCGGAGTAGTGGCAAGATAGTTTGGGACTTGGTGTCATCCTTTTTCCGTATGGGGTACCACTTATACGTGGACAATTTTTATTCAAGCGTGCCACTATTTAGACATTTGTACAATCTTGGAACTGGCGCATGCAGCAAAGTGTGACCTAATGTGTGCCCACCTTTAGAAGTGGGTGGATGCAGGGCGGTATATTTTAATGGTGGGCATACCACACATTTTTTTTTGGCAGAGATTTCTTCTCTTTTTTTCATTCAGTCCACAGGCTGCATCCAAAAAAAAAAAATAGAACATAGCATACAGTATATAACCAACAAGGACCAGCGATGTACTGGTACATCACTGGACTTTGAATGGTTTATATACTAGGATGATGCCTAAAACTGACGGCATCATCCCGGTGTCATTTTTTTCAGCTGGCGATTGGCTTTCATGTAAAAGCAGTCCTAGTGGCTATTTAGCTGCAGGATTGCTTTTACAAGCAGTGGGAGACAATGCCCCCCCTCCCCTGCTGCCTTCCACGGCAAAAAAAAAAGTGTATTTTTTTTCTTTAAATTGCATTTGAAAAATCGCTGCGCAAGTACTATGTCACATAAAAAATTTTTTTACTACAAGCTTTTGGAAAATGACAAACAAAAAATTGTTTTTTTTTTACACAAAATTGTCACTTAAATGATTTATTGCTCACACATGCCATGGGTATATGTTAAATTACTCCCAAAAATACATTCTGTTACTTCTTCCAAGTATGGGGGTACCATATGTGAGAGACGTTTTGGTGGTCTAGCCAAGTACAGGATCCCAAAATCAAATAAGCACCTTCAGGCTTTTAAAGGGCTTTTATTTCCTCATTACACTTCCTGACTACCTATCACAGTTTCGGAGGCCCTGAAATGCCAGGATAGCACCAAACCCCCCCCCCCCACCTCCCCAAATGACCACTTTTTGGAAAGTAGACATCCCAAGGAATTTGGTAAGAAGCATGGTGAGTATTTTTCAGATCTCGTGTGTTGCCACAAGTTTTTGGAAAATGAAGAGAAAAAACAAAACATATTCTTTCTTTTTTCAAAACCTTGTGACAAAAAATGAGATCTGCAAAATACTCACCATGCCTCTTTTTAAATTCTTTGGGGTGTCTATTTTCCAAAAAGGGGTAATTTGGGGGGGGGGGGGGGGTTGGTGCTATCCTGTCATTTCAGGGCCTTCAAGACTGTGATAGGTAGTGAGGAAGTGAAATGGGGAAGTTACGCACCTTCAGGCTTTCTAAGTGGTCATTGGATTTCAGGCTCCTGTATGTGGCTAGGATCCCAAAAAGTCTCACACATGTGGTATCTCTATACTCAGTAGAAGTAGCAGAATGTATTTTTAGGGTGTAATTCCACATAAGCCCATGGCTTGTGCGAGAAATATATCATTTAAATGACAACTTTATGTAAAAAAAAAAAAAAAGCTTTTGTCATTTTCCAGAAACTTGTAGAAAAAAAAACAAATCTTTCATGGACTCAAAATGCCTCTCAGCAGACAGAAAAAGGGGTCATTTGGGGGTGTTTGTACTGTCCTGGTATTTTAGCACCTCAAGAAATGTGATGAGCAGTCAGAAAGTAAAAGCTGTGTAAATTCCATTATCTATACCATAGTTTGTAGACGCTATAACATTCACACAAAGCAATAAATATACACTTATTGGGATTTTTTTAACCAAAAACATGTAGCAGAATACATTTTGGCCTAAATTTATGAGGAAATGTTAGTTTTTTTGGATATTTTTTATGACAGAAATGAGAAAATATTGTTTTAAAAAAAAAAAAAAAAAAATGTTCTCAATTTTTTTGTTTATAGTGCCAAAATTAAAAAGCGCACAGGTGAACAAATACCACCAAAAGAAAGCCCTATTTGTGTAAAAAAAAGGACTTCAATTTCATTTATGTACCATATTGCATGACTGCGCAATTGTCCGTTAAAACTAGTTCAGCGCTGTATAGCAAAAAATGGCGTAAATTGCAGTATCTATACCATAGTTTGTAGACGCTATAACTTTCACAAAAAGCAATCAATATACACTTACTGGGATTTTTATTATCAAAAACATGTAGCAGAATACATTTTGGGCTAAATGTATAACTAACTTTGAGTTTACTATATATTTTTTATAGCCGAAAGTAAAAAATATAGTTTTTCTTCAAAATTTTCGGTCTTTTTTTGTTTATAGCGCGAAAATAGAAAGCGCACAGGTGATCAAATACCAGCAAAAGAAAGCTCTATTTGTGTGAAAAAAGGACGTAAATTTCTTTGGGTACAGCATTGCATGACCGCGAAATTATCAGTTGAATTAGTGCAGCGCCGAGTAGCAAAATGAGGCCTGGTCTTAAAGGGGGGTAAGTCCTCAGGAGTGCAAGTGGTTAAATACCACCAAAAGAAAGCTCTATTTGTGTGAAAAAAAAATGATAAAAATTTCATATGCGCACAGTGTTGCATGACTGCGCAATTGTCAATCAAAGTGCGACAGTACTGAAATCTGAAAATTGGCCTGGGCACGAAGGGGGTAAAAGTGCCCGGTAGGCAATCGTTAAGACCAGGCCACCTTCTGACACTTGCTAGAACTTAGAACCCCCAAACATTATATATTTTTTTTAACAGATGCCGTAGAGAATAAACTAGTGGGTTTTGCAAATTTCTATGTCACATGGTATTTGCGCAGTGGTTTTTCTAACACAATTTTACACACTAATGCAAAAATACACTTTATATATTTAATGCACTCAATTCAATACAATACCAAATTTTTTTTGTACAATATAAAATATGGTGTTGTTGAGTAAATAGATACCAAACATGCCATGGCTTTAAAATTGTGCACGCTTGTGAAACGGCACCAAACTTCAGTCATTAGAATCTCCATAGACAACATTTTATAAGCCTTTACAGGTTACCAGTTTAGTGTTACAAAGGAAGTTTGGTGCTAGAATTATTACTTTTGCTCTGACGGTCGCGGCAAGTGTGGTGTGATCGCCGTTTACATATGCGTACAGGACCAACATGTGTGCATACAAGCATGGGGGGATGGGGGCGTTTTACATTTTTTTATTTAGTTATTCGTGGGATACTGATACACTGACAGGTGTTTTTGTGCATTTGTACATTGTGACAGATGTTGATCACCCAACGGCAGATGTTGATGTTGCGTTTGGAACATTATTGCAGTTTTGTGCACTGGTACACTGTGACATATG